CGCTGGGCTTTGGTGCCCCGATATTCAACAATCTCGAATCGCTTGTGATAAGGACAGAATGGCTGAATGCACCTCTCGGCTCAGGCCCTGTCCATCAGCCTTTTCGCTGGATAAGGTTTTCACCGAAGCTAGCCCATTTGCGTCTCCTGCAAGGAGCCTTTCATCATCTTCTCGATTTTGGCTCTCGATTTTGGGCCGACCTGCCGAGAGACAATATAGAGCACCTCACTGTCGAGTGCTGTACTCCCAAATCGTTGGGCTTCTTCGCCAATTTCCCTCGACTTGTCGAGACTCGGTTTCAGCAGATATATTATGAAAATATCTTGCCACCTGAACGACGGAGCGACACAATAGAAGCCCACAGGCCCTTGGGTCCCACCACAACCCCAGTCAGGCGGCTCACAATCTCTTCTCGCAAGCCAGAAGAGAGCTTGAAAAGCATTTTCGACAATGTGACCAGCGACAACCTCGAATATCTCGAGCTCAGCACCTTCGGTTCATGTGAACTGGTTAGATTCCCTTTCTATTCCTTCGTAGCATTTGCCGAGAGGTCTCGACTCGACGCCTCTCTTACAGATCTTTGTCTGAAAGGAGTGCGAATGAGCGACAACACAGATCTTATATCAATCTTCAGATTGCTCCCTTCAATCACACGACTTTCTCTATTGGAGTTGGAGAGTTTTCATACCGACGGTCCTCGCCTGATACCCACCAAGGTTTGCTTAGAATCTCTAGCAGATTCCTGCGTCCCGACACTTTTGCCAGCTTTAGCCCACCTGACGCTCAGATTCATCCCACACCCCACCAATGTTTCTCGATTCAATGCCCTCGGCAAGCTCATCGAACGCCGGTCACCTGCGAAGCATAGCGACATTGAGGTCGCGGCGTTGGAGGCAGTTTGGATAGAATTTGGACCTAGCAGCCAGGGAAGCTATGAGATCATGATGAGCGAGGTCGCCGGATGTGGTGTAATGGTTCACGGGTTCGAGCAGCGAATCATCGACCAGGACCACGAGCGATGGGATTCGGATTCGGATTCGGATGAGTCGTATGTGCCTACGGATACAGACCCTGACTCGGATTCGGATTGGATGACTGACTCAGAGATGGACATTGAATCGAAGGAGCTCGAGAGTCGCTAAAGAACTGGAATCCCTTTTGGTAACGGTAGACAAAAGAGATGATTTCTATTCTACTCGATATTTATGTCTGATTTATGACGAGTCACAAAGTAAAAAGTACAATGACCGAGCAGTGATACCCAGTGAAAACTGGATCTGGAGAAATCTGATAAAACCGGCCATATCCGGTAACACCTGACACGGTCGGGCCATTTCTGAAAATGCCCAGCCAGTGCAAGTATTGCACAGAAATTCCGAAAAATATCTGAGGTCATCTGGACTTCTCTGAAGACCTGTATCCTACTACCTACTAGTCGTACTACGTCCTGCTTCAAAGACTTTGAGGGACTTGAAAGAATTTGATTGAGTAATATCACGCCATCACCGCAATATTCCCACCGTCCGCTCCTGCCTTCTACCGCCCTTGTCGCTTCCCCAATGTCCTTGCAGACGAGCGTCAAACGTCGAGCCCTCTATTCTCATCCACGAGCCTTGGCCAGCAGGAATTAATGGACCCATGGACGTGGCGCAGCAAGCCCAGCAGCATGGTTCACTTGTCGGCGGTCGCAGAAACTGTCCCTTCAAAATCAGAAAATCTCACAAATATGTCGTTCCATCGCGTCAATGAAGCTATCTACCGCAAAACGAGGTCCTTCAGGGTGGTCCGGGTCGTGGTCTTTACCTGAATGGTGCCACGTCATCTCAAGGCCTTGATATTGGACGGTTTCCTGGGTGCTAAACGGACACGAAAAACGACGATTAGTACAATAAGGACGTTATTCAACAGCTTGCAGCGAATACAAACCCTTTCCTCCATCTCTTTCGTCCATTGCCTTGCTTCAGACGTGGTCTTTTTCAAGCTGAAGCAGAGATTGACATAGGACACGGAGATGGTCTGAACTGGTGTGTCTTCTATCAATTCATATTTGATATTTCGTCTTACCAGCCTGCCTAGGACTACGCTGAGGCTTCGAATCTTTCGCTGCGCGTCTAGGTTACCCGGCTTTCATAAATTCAATAGGTCAGTTTCTTGTTGTTTCAGCTTGCAGGGGAACTGACACTAGTTTTATTCTCCAGCTTGCTGCATCTACCATTGACTTCCGGTTTCCCTTCAATCTGGCAGCATATTCCTTGCTTCTGTGACTTGGCGTCGCTGGGACCTGGTTGCAGTAGCGGGATTGGGGCTGGGACTGAAGCAGACTGCAATTTACGGTAGCTTCCAGATGTATACGGATAATATCAGATTTATCCAGAATGACAGAAATTTGTTCTTTTTATTGCTCGGATTGCGTCAGATATAATCTGGAAATGAGACAAAATCTGGTCCTGTCTGGGATTATCAGTTGCTTCGGTTTCACCGGATATTCCCAGATATTCGCGGCTCTGCTCGGACCAACCCAGACCCGTTTCTCACTGGGCGTGATATCCGGTTCTCTTCGCACCACCACCGCCATTGATTCTACAGACGCCTAGTAAGTAGGGTTCAGAACATACCTTTGACGCTTCCTACAGTTTTCTGTCTAAACTTGCTCATTATGCCACCTAGAAAAGTGGCCAAGAAAGCGGCAATTCCAAACTCAGAACCTTCACAGACGGTTGAACCGCGAAAGTCAAACGGAGACCGACTGTCGGTATCAATACTCTATGAGATACTTATTCGCCTACACATATCTTAGTGAAGGCATCTCGGATTGGCTCTATAGCGGTATCTCATGGACACCTTTCGCTCTTGCCACAGTATGCCAGCTTTGGCGAGCAGCAGCTTTATCGATGCCTGAGCTATGGTCGACAATCGGGTTTCGCGCAGATCCTGGTGAGGGATGTGTGCTGACTGAAGACGAGAAGCCTTTGTTCGAGGACGTGGAAGAGCTGGCCGAAGAGAGGCGAGACATGTTGGAAATGTTCATCAACCGCTCTGGTTCTCTTCCTCTCAAGATATCCATTGCAGCACTCTCCTGGGGGTTCTCGGAAGCTCTCATGACAAGTTTCTTTGCCGTGTGTCCCAGGATAAGCCACCTGGACCTCAGGGGACGTTGGATCAGCGGCTTAAGTCTAGAGGACGAGGAGTTGGCGAATCTGGAGGCTCTGACGATCACTTCAGAATCGCCAGACGACCCGCAGGCCGGTGATTACTTCTACTTCGCAACTCGGGTTTCAGTTTCAGGATGCGGCTGGCTAGAAAGTGCCCAAAAGATGGAGCATGTCGAGGTCAAGGGCTTTGCATCAGTCAGGTTGAACTCCATATTTTGGGAGAATCTGCCAAAAGGCAACATCGCGACCCTCATCGTCGACCGGTGCAATTTCCGCAATCTCGAGTGCTTTGTTGACTATCCCAGGCTCTGGGAAGCTCATCTCCAGCTTCTGCCGGCCACCTTCGGCGGGACGGTCAATGGAGAAGCCAGGACAAATGCTCGAAGGTTGGTGCTTTCATCTCTGGGCGCTACCAACGCCTTGGAGATCGTCTTCCGCAATGTCACTTCTCTTTTCCTCGAATGTCTCGAACTTGACGCGGCCAAGGACATCAAAACGGAACCCGAGAGCAATAGACAACCGGTGGATTGGTCGAGACTGCATCAGATCTTTGTCGGATTTGCGGCCAGGTCTGGGTTGGCACAGACGCTTATTGTGCTTCGTCTTGAAGCTATCCAGGTCAAGGGGTGTCCGTCGGACAGCTCGGCGAAGGTATGCCGAGGGGGGAGGGGGGGTCCCCGAGACCTTACCGCCGAAATGTTAGGCAGTTTTGCCAAGATAATTTTGGCTCTCTGGATCTGTTCTGAACTATTATTTTGATGTTTATGGTGATTTTATGATCTGTAGAAGGTCCCGGATGACCACTGCAGCCATATTGGGAGAAACATTTGGAGATTTGTGACCAGAGACTGTTGAGCATGAGGCGGTAGTCTATAAAAGGTCACAGAAATACAATCTGATGCTACTATATCAACTAAATACACTCAGCACACCAATGCAGAGATTGGGGAACAATGAGAGACGGCAGTGGTGGGCAACAGTCAGCAGCCCGGACACACATGACACACCGACAAGGTGTCATCCATTTCCTCTTAAGGTGATTTGTCATCGTTTCGTGGGAATATAGTACTGTATAAGGTAGGAGGGTAAGGGGGAGGGGGGGTCTGAGCGAAGTTATTGTCGAAAACCGGCATACCTTTTGACATTTGAATTCCGGACACCCCTTGATCCAGGTGAACGAAGTCGACTTGGATGAGATTTTCAGGTCTTTGCCGGCTCTCATCAGAATCTCCCTCCTTGAAAGTAACAGGCCTTTCACCATCTTCACGAAACAATCCATTCGCTCCCTTCTCGACTTTTCCGTTCTTCCTGCGTTGAAGCAGCTAGACATCAGGTTTCGAGCAGATACTTCGAACGATGCCCGGTTTGATGCATTGGCTGAGCTGGTGAAAGCTAGGTCGTCGGGTGGTCCTGGTCCAGCGTTGGAAGATCTATGGGTAGCGTTTGGGGAAAGCATAGGCTCGTAACCAGCCTCTCTACGGGAGAAGTTTTTGGTGACGGGAGGAACCTCTCGGGGGTCGGTAACCGGACTAGGGAAAGCAGTCGTGGCGGATGTGAAAGGTTTCTCGGCGTTGTTGCAGGCTCTGGTGTCAGGGTCTACTGATACGATAGACCTGCAAGATGAAAAGTGTGATTCATCCGATGACTCTTTCGAAGGACCAGATTCACAAGACGAGCTTTCTGACGGGTCAACGGAATGGGAAACGGACTCTGAGTAGAAGTTACTGAATACGAAAATGACGATATTCCTTTTTTCGTTTACTGAAGTTGTTCACTCATTGAAAGGCTGCTATATCTCTGCGCCACGATCGAGAAACATCTTATCCGACACGACATCAGAAGTTGCGATCCGGTATGGTGTAACGGCTAACATTACCGCCTCTCATGTGTTTGGAGTGTTGCATGTTTAGCGCGGTAGCCCTGGGTTCGACTCCCAGTACCGGAGTTCTTTTGCTTTTTGACCGATCCCCCCCTCCTCTGATTCATTTTGGCAGCTTTCCCACAACGCAATCACACGTTATGACGTTACGCGACGTTACTTCGCGGAAACCATCCTTCCGATATACGAGCCGAGAGATCGACAATGTTTTGATTGCCTCGAGGTAACAGCATGTTCTTGTCACCGTCTAGATTATCGACGGGTGCAAAAGGCAGAAATAAAAATACATGCCTCTGCAATAAAAACACGCTTGTTCAATCAATAAAAGCACGCCTGTTTCACGAGATAATGAAACACATCTTTCCGGTCCCGCAAATCCAACTCCCTTTCGCCTTTTGCGGAATTCGACGCTTCTCGTCCGTCCGTGGCCGCTTTGACAACACTCAGGCACTTTGCAGACATGTGTTCCATCGCCCAATTCTTTCAACTTTCCCGATATAGGGCTTCGTTTGTACCTTGATACGGCTGTGTGAACCACGACATCCGTTCGCGAGCCTTTTCTCTAAGCCACCCGCTTTGAATCAGCAAGGAGAAGCGACAGGCAGTATAAAATGGACGAGCACGACCACCAAGCAATTCATTCCATTTCCGACTCGTTGACAATTTCTACTGTAAGTTCCTTTTATTCTTATTCCATCTTCATGTCGCCAATGAACAATTTGGATTAGATGAGGTCAAAGTCACCTCCCAAATCCCCGGGCCCGTCTCCTGCACCAAAGGATTCGAAAGTAGAGCTTAGCGCGAAACAGAGCTCAGCGAAACAAGTTTCGCCTGGGGAAGCTATTGCAGCGATGTGGAACCGCGAACTGCCTGAGAGCAAAGCTGCTTGGTGGGAGAGAAACGCAAAGGTTGCTCGACAATATGCCGAACAGGCCAGGAATAATGGAAGGGCCAAGCTGTCAGTAGCCTCTTCCCATCTCTTCTCGTCTCTCAATAATCGTGTTTTAGGTGATTTTTGGGATTTTGTGTGGCGTCATCGAAGCCTATGAAATATTTGATACTTTGGAATTGTTATTGTTATTGTATTGGATGAAATCGGAATCCGAAGGAGCATCTTCATTCATCTTCGTCTTCGTCGCTCTCGTCGTCGGACAATGCTCACGCCAACCTCATGCTGGTTGGAGTCTGATGAATGTTGCGGAAGACGCCGGCTATCGCGGGCATCTTTACGTGTTGACTAATTGAAGGTCGCCTATCGACATGATTGAAATTTGAATGATCATCCTGACATGTCACGAGACGATGAGCTCCGACCTCGAGTTCGTTTATTCAAAAGGATAGAGGCGCATAGGTGCTGCCAGGAATTGGGCTGGGCTGCGACGTGGCCGTGAAATCTTGTTACGTGGTGCGTAATTTGAAATGTGTATTTCTATGTATCGTCCTTGCAAGCTCATGTTTCGTTTGACATTCCAGACCATGGCACTCATTATCGAAGAGCTTCCTACAGAAATCATTCTCCTAATCCTCCAATACCTTATCCCGACAGAACTGCTCGTTCTGTCTCGCTGTTCCCGACAATTCCAGCGGCTGGCGATACCCATTTATCTGGGTCGCTATGGCATGGAGCTGAAGAATACCGATGGAATATACCAGCTGCCTCCATTCGACTTCCACGGCCGCGGTGATGCGATCAACATTATCAAAGGTCTTCGCAGTGGTCGCTTCATATCTACCATCCAACATTTCCACTGTCAATTCCGCCTATGTCGTCGGTTCGCCGACGTCGAGGTTCCTCTCATCCTGTCTCTGCTGTCCAACTGGAAAAGCATCCAGAAGGCCACCTTCTCCTTTGACCGCTTTCCATGCATTCAATGTCGGGGACAGTTGCAGGAGGAGACTTATTCGGAATCATGGAAGCAGCTTGTTAGCTGCGTTGACGAGAAATCCACCAAGGTTATGGTTGTGGTCCGTGAAGGATTCCATCACGGATTATGTCCAGCCGAGCAGTTCAAATCGAAAAGCGTCGCAGTTTTAGCGGAATACAGCGACGGACGACCCTTGCAGCACCTCCAATTCGGTTCCGACACCTCGCTCACCTCATCCTTCGGCAGCTCATTTCATTACACCATGTCGCTCAGCACCCAGCATAACTGGGAATCCACCGTCTCAATGATTTCGATGCCCAATGTCACAATGGTCACCATTGCGGAATGTCTGGGCTTCCAACGCCTTTTACCCTTTCTCCTCCGACATCCCGACATCCAGATTGTAGAGGACTTGTCCCCGATTCCGATACAGCCAGACCGAATGTCGCAGTCGGGCGCCCTTCCCAGTCTGACGACGCTTATTGCGACGCCGGAGCAAATGCTGCGGCACATCCTTCCTTCGTTTTATTCCAACAAAGCGCTCCCGGCGCTCCGGAACATATCTCTGGTTTACGAGCATTCATCTGGGCTCATGCGGCCGCTGCACCGACGAAGCGCGCTGCCAGCCGTCGCGGCTTTGGACCGAGAAATCGCGTTGACGATGCATTTGTTGAAACCGGATTCGCAGATGCTTTGGGATTCGTGGGACGAGATGGACGAGATGGAGCCTTTGAGGAATGTTTGCAGTCTTGAGATGAGGTTCGCTGTTCAGTATTTGGTCAGCAGGGAAAACCTGGACGCTTTGTTCGGGTTCATGGGACCGCTATTCCCTTGTCTTCGAGCTTTCACCCTTTCGTGTCGATGCGAGGTTCCACTGGAAGATGTCGTGCAGCAAGGAAAGAGAGCTTTTGGGAATTTGACAATTGTTGAGGTTTTAGAATCGGTGGGTCAAGGTTATCGATGCAATTCATTGCCTTTGCTAACGCGCATTCCAGGTCTATACGAGATGAGCTCTCTCTTCAATCAAGATCGACCGACGAGAGGGGGTTTCTGTCTCGTCCTGTTGCCTGGTCAGGTGGTCCGAGACTCCGAAAGCGTGGACTTGTTATGAGAAGCGAAACCGAGTCAATCGAAGGGAGGACACCGACAAGGTTCGTTGATCATTCTTTGCTTCATATCTGGTTGTCCCGAGCTCAGGCTTTCCTAGCTCTGGACCCGGCGAATCCGTCTGGGTCTTTCGATATGAGCTTCATTTCCACCATTGACCAGCGACGTTTCCTCGACATTACATTCGTCAGCCCTCGGCCAACGGCCTGACCTAGCATGGGCTTTGAGGAAGCTCGGGGAAGGTCATGCTGTTCAGCTTCTGAAGGTGTAGCTCGACTGGGCTCATTTGCTTCTTTTCTTCTTTTGATATTCCATCTGCTCGTCGATATCTTTGCTGCCACCTTGCACGAATGAAAGTCTTTTGTACGCTCTGTGTTTATCTCAATATCAGCTGCTTCAACGGATCGTTTTCCATTTTGGTCGTGATGTTCTTGAACTTCGTCAAATTTTTTGGTTCATTGTCACGTGTGACATGTGACACCGAGCTTGAGGAAGACGACAACAATGCCGCCATTTAGCTGGTTTCCACCACCGCAAAAAATCCGGGGACGACAGGAATATCGTTTATTCCCAACGGGAGCCACTATGCCTCCGTCCCCTCTCTGGAATCTGTGCCAGATGACGAGGTCAGGCCGATTGGTACCACATCGCCGTCTGCGTCAATGGAACCCAAGTCGAGATACCCGATAGCACAAGACGCATCTGATAGACGTCTCAAGGTCTAAACAGGCCTCACTGTTGCTCTAGACCCCAGTTCCAGCGTGGCCTCACTGTCCAAAAATCCCAATTCTGGTTTGGACGTTTCGGTCGTCCGAGCGGTGGGTTACTGCATTGCAGATGCTAAATAACCATATTGGTGTTGTCTCTAGCCTATACTAGCAGCGTCTCCGCCGGCAGAGATCTCGGAATCTCGAAAAGAGCACCATGTTTTCCGTACGTTTCCTCCTTTTCCCAAGCCTTCCCAAGCCTTCAAGGATGTGCTTAACCGTAGAACAGGCATTTGGATAAATGAACAGCAATGCGATGATATGGCTGTCTAGTGGCTATATCGGAATGTGCTCCTCACCGTCTGGTAAAGTTGGTTCACTAAGGTTGCTTGCTCCAAGCCCGAACCCGTTGACGAGCTAGAGCATTCTCATCTCCGTCCGTCGTTTCCAATCCGCTTTCGCCGTATTCCTCGCCACAGTCGTCGCTCTTTGGCCACTGCATTCTTCTTTTTTCGCGAATGTTGCAGCTCCTTCGGTGGTGAACGAAGCTCGAAGAAACTGGTTGGTTTGCTTCAAGGATGGATATGCAGGCCTGGAGAAAGAAAGGTTCGGTTGATTGTCTTGTCTTGGCTCAGTCGTTGAATTTATCCTTGCAGGCTCATATCGCGGTTTCTGGGGCGCTCAAGCGCTCTCTTGTCCCGGAATTTTAACCAGCGTCTGAAAGCAGTGGCAGCATCTAGCTGGGGCTCCTCGAGAATAGAAGAGATCAGAAGATCGGAGGAGACGAGACGAGAAGGGACAGAAGAAAGTAAGGGCTGTTGCCACAATTTGTCTTGCGTATTTTGTTCCTGCTGGCCTCAACTCATTAACCTGTTGCATTAGACCGCTCTCCAAATGTGCTTGATTTGTCTGCTTCCCCTCGCAAATCAAAATCGGAAACACAAGAACATTTCTTGGTCAACATTCTTTGGCTGCATTCTCGCGGTTGAACTAATATAACCAATACAGACATGGAGAGCGCTCTCAGGCCTTTTCAGGCTCATGCCTTTCTAGTAGTCACATCAATTTGTCATAAAACTTGATCAGATTTTTGGTTCAGACACCCTCCTCTGCAGCGCTCATCGGCTTTCTACAGGCACATCCACTACAGCCTGACTCTTGCTCCAGGCCAGCTGCGGGCTTGCCACCTGAATGTGGGAAGCATTTATTCGCCCTGGTCGAAAGCTTGCATGTCCAACCCGAGGCTGCCATATGCGCCAGACAGCTAGATCTATCGCAATTGCCTCTTGAGCTCCTCCCCTGGACTCTGTCCAATATCTTGCAAGGGGGGTTTTCGACCGCATCCGCCTGTACAAGTCATCAATGGCAGTGGGGGGATAACTGAGGG